GTAAAGTTTGATGGCTGGGATCAACTTCCCACTTTTTTTTTTTTTTTTTTTTTATATGCATTTTATTGTAAAAAAAGCCACAGTTAATTGTTTGTTTGATAAAAAGTGCATGCTAATTAATATAGTCATGTTTAATGTAAATTCATCTTAAATCATTCATTACAGGTTTTGACCATCAATTTCGGACACCCTTATCAAGAACGTACTCACCCCAAATAATAAATTCCAATTAATCGCCAAAACCTGTAATTTGTTTTTTACGATCGAACCATGATAAATCGTTTCGTTTCAATTCTCCAAACAGATTACAGTATTAAAAATTTCACAAATGCACTCCTTTGTTAGAAAAGTAGTGCACTATCTTTTACTAAAATTGTTTATAATTTTGTAGATATTCGGTGACGACGATAAAGGTTTAATTTTATTTATTCAAATTAATCTTGGAAGACGTAAAATAATTTATTATTTATGGATGCGAAATTGTAATTACATCATCATCTAATTATTAAAATGTTTAATTTTTGTAAAAAATAACTTCACCCTCATCTTCTATAAATCGACATTGAGTATGACTTCTCCATAAAGCTTTAAAGATAGGTGTATCATCAAAAATATAATAAGGACCAAGAACTTCTTTAAGATGAATGGTTGCTTCTTCAGCATGATAATGTGGCATTTGGCTAAAGTAATGATGAGCAACATGTGTAGACGAGATTCGGTGAAATATAGAGTCAAGAAATCCGAAATGGCGATCCACTGCGATAATATTTGGAATATTTTTGATACTTTAGTCTCAAGAATTTTTTTTGAATATATAAGTTATATAAGTTATATAAATTATATAAGTTGAAATACCTGTACAAGCAGCTCCACGAATAAAATTCCATTGTTTTTGGCGATAATGTGGTAATTTTGGATCAGTGTGTTGAAGAAAAGTTATGAGAACAAGCCAATGATTTACAACCAAGTAAGGTATTAAATAATATTTTACTACAGTAATGAATGAATAAACATAAGAAAAATAGCAGATTATAGATAATGTGATAATAATTCCTATATCAGAAATAATTATGTCGTTATAGTGTTTGGGATCAAATATAGGTGATGATGGGTTAAAATGATTGACCCAGCGGTCCTTGTATTTTTGTCCCGATGCATTAAAGATCAAATAAAGCGGCCATCCCACTAATTGTTGAAGAATCAACATAAGTAGTGTAAATATAGGCGTATCTTCGTATATTGATGTTCCGTCTTCGTGTTCATTTTTCGAAGGAAGTCCCAGTGCTGTTCGTGTTTTTGGTAAAAATACCTGATCTTTCTCTATATGTCCCGTATGTTTGTGATGTTTGGAATGTGTTATTCTCCACGAATGATAAGGGACCAGTAAAGCTGAGTGCAATATGAGGCCTACTGTGTTGTTTATAAACTTGTGAGGTGAAAAGGCTTGATGTCCACATTCGTGAGCGATCACCCATACACCTGTCGCAAAAGCACCACAGAAAAACCAATATACAAGCCAGGCGATAAAACGAAGCATCTGTGGAAGGTATGTGTCAATAAAGGTCGCTGCGTAGACCAGAACCGCAATCATAGCAAGATCTTTAACCAGATAGCTGGCTGATTTCCATGTGTCTTGCTCAAAGCAATGGGGTGGAATTGCCTGTCGTATTTGTTGTATCTTAAAGTCTGGTGGCACATAGTCTCGCTCAAACTTTGTATCTTTATCGACCTTTGATTCGGTAGTCTGACGATGACTCAGTTGTGTTTCGATGTTTGGATCCGCCATTTTATATGAAAATTCGTTTCCGACAGGACTCTATATTTATAAGTTCTCGTCCGCAAAAAAAACACATAATGCACCATATTTGCGACATTTCAATTTTTCCCCAAAAATTGGTTCTTATTTATCGTATTTCAAATGCTAAGAATCTCGATTGGCATAAAAATTCCCATTATCGTATAATTGTAGTTTGGGGACATGTGTTAAAAAAAAAACGTGGCAAGTTGATCCCAGCCATCAATCTGTACAAAAATACCGAAAACAATAAATTTTTTAAGTTTCATATTAGAATTGTTATTAGATCGTATCTGATAGGTATCGGTAAATGGCGAATCTTGACAATCTTTTTGATTTACCGTATCAAAAAATCCAACAAGCCATGTTATTGTCCGGGGCAGAGCTAAGAAAATTCTACATATTAGTGTTAGCGTGAGCATTAAAACTTACGGCTTACTGATTTCTGTGTTTCTTATTCGAATAACAATTCAGCAAATATTCATTTATTCAAATATTTCGCCGAATGACTAATATTATTCGAATAAGTACTATATATATAGTTAACTAAATGTGAACCAGCCGAATACGAATAACGAATACGTACGAAGCTCTAGTTAGCATTAGTGTTAAATATATATTTCTAAACATCTATATAGGCTTTTTTCAGTGGTACTGTATTGTATAAATAAATTTGGAGGGTGTACTATAAGAATCACTTAATATAGTTACGTAGAAAGTACTATTTTAGTTTAGTGACTTATATTTCTAGTTAGTAGTATTGACGACTAAACCAATCTAAGGTTTTCTACCTTACTAAGTTAAGCGGTTGTTATAGTACACCCTCCAAATTTATTTATACAATACAGCACCGCTGAAGAAAGCCATATTAAAACTGATCAAAACCGGTTACTTTTTTGATGTATTTATGGTTAGTATATAAAATACGATTATGCAATATGTATATTTCAGATTATAATAAAACATAGAGGTTGGAACCGGTTTTAATAATTCGAGTTTATCACGTGAATTTTGTGATATTTTAGAATTTAATCCAATTAAATTTTAATAAATTCTAAAATATCACAAAATTTACGTGATAAACCCGAATTATTAAAACCGGTTCCAATCTCTAATAAAACATATAACCATTTTTTTTTACAAAATTAATATAATATAAAAATCAAAACAATTAAAATTTAAATCAATAAACTATGTTTTTAAGAATAGAATTGAGGCCAAAAAAGAGTATTAAAAATTATTGTATGATTCGCGAGTCATGTGAAGAATGATCATAGTGTATATAATATAACATGACGCAGATTACATATGTAAATTACTATAGGCGTGCGCTTAAGAAAAACTTTTTTCGTACTAAGTTAATCATTCTTCTACATTAAGAGAAGTTGTAGAGCTTGTCGAGACACATCTAAAGGTGGTTAGATCATCCAAATCGGTCTAGTGGATGCAGAGATATCTTTAAAACATTTCACTGATTATATAAAATTCTATTTGCATAGAATTTTATATAATGAATAAAATGTTTTTTTGAAGATATCTTAGCATACACTGGACCGATTTGGATGACCTAACCAACTTTAGATGCGTCTCAACAAGCTCTACAACTTTCTCTTAATGTAGAAGAATGATTAACTTAGTATAAAAAAAGTTTCTTTAGACACATATTGTATTTTCACCTATAGTAATTTATATATGATTTGTATCATATTATACTATATAATTATTCTTCACATGAATCACAGATCATCAATTAAAATATTTTCTAATAATCATTTAATAGACAAATTGTGAGTCACCTAAACAAATTTTTTTTTTATATGTAAATTTTACTATAAGCCTGAATGTGCAGCGTTTCTATTTAAAATTTTTTTTTTTACTAAGTAAATTACTCTTGGGCTTGTAACAAAGTTGTAAAGCTCATCAAGATGCATCTAATGGTAGTAAAAATGTTAAAATCGGTCTGGTGGTTCTTGAGAAATCTTTAAAAATTTTCTTTTTTACATATAAAATTTTTTTAAAAAAAATCAATTTTTTTAAAGAAATTTTATATGTGAAAAAGAAGTTTTTAAAGATTTTTCAAGAACTACCAGACTGATTTTAATATTTTTATTACTATTAGATGCATCTTAATGAGCTTTACAACTTTTGTTACAAGCCCAAGAGTGATTTACTTAGTAAAAAAAAGTTTTAGATAGAAGTACTGCATATTCAGGCTTATAATAAAATTTATATATAAAAAAAATATATTTGTTTAGGTGACTTGCAATTTGCCTATTAAACTAATTTTTTTAATTACAAGTTAAAGACTTCAGATCGAAAAGTTTAATTAGTGATTAGCTATTCAACCAGAGAGAGCTTATAATATAATGTGATATAGTTTATATATAGAAATTAGAGATTTTAGAATGTGAGCTATTTCTATTTAAATTTTTTTATACTAAGTTAATTATCTTTGGGCCTCTAATTGAAGTTGTAAAGCTTATTGAGATGAATCTAATGGTGGTTGAATCATCAAAATCGGCTTTGTGAATTATCTCTTAAACTGTATTCCAGGCAAATTTGCTTAAAAAATTTAATTATATTTAATATTTTTTAAATAAAACAATTATTTATTAATAATATGGGTATACTTTCTTCATAGAGATTTCTTCTAAAACTTTTTTTTACTAAGTAAATCACTCTTGAGTTTCTAACAAAGTTGTAGAGCTCATCAAGATGCATCTAATGATAGTAAGAATGCTAAAATTGGGCTGGTAGTTTTTTGAGAAATCTTTAAAAAACATTTCACTGATATATAGTATTTCTTTAAAAAAAATCAATTTTTTTTAAAAAAATTCTATATATTGGTGAAACATTTTTTAAAGATTTCTCAAAAACTACCAGGCCAATTTTAGTATTCTTATTACTATTAAATGTATCTTGATGAGCTCTACAACTTTTGTTACAAACCCAAGAGTGATTTACTTAGTAAGAAAAAACGTTTTCTTTATATTTCTTTAAAAAAGCTCCACATTT